CCAGCAACTCTAATGCTCATTAATTACTGTTCTGTACAAAATGTGTAAATCAAGAATTTTACGTGGCGACTGCTCCCAGCCAAGAAATAGTCTGGCAAATAATCTCCTGAAAAACAGCAACTTGTCTTTTTTAACTTTGGTATTGTACAAAATCAGTTATTTCAAATTATTTTGATATTATTAAAAAAAGACATAATGTGTTAATCATGAGCTTTAGAGGTGCTGTTAGGCACCTGGTATTTCAATTCTACACAGAGCTAAGCTAGCTGTTCCCCCTGTTTCCAGTCTTTATGCTAAGCTAAATATTTATATTATTTAATATTTTGATATTTGGATTCATTTAATATTTATATTACCATCCAGTCCAGAGAATGGATCTTCTTATCCAACTCTCTGCGTGAATGCTATGTAAGTGTTTCTTTTAAATAACGACAATATGTAAAAGGTTTACAAGGAATTAAATAAAACATGAAGTTTGAAAGGTTTTTGAAGTTTAAGAAGTAAAAATATGAGTGAACTGAGTTGAAACACATTTGCCTCTTAATGGAATTACCAACATTTTTAATGAAGAAATGTTACTGAAACCCCTCATTATGCAGCCCTGTATCCTCCTCTAACTTTAGTTTGGTGTAACCTTGTCGTCCTGACCCTCATCCCTCTCTCTCTCCCTCATCCCACTCTCTGTCCCTCTTTCGCTCTCTGCTCCAATTTGCGTGCGCGCCCTTGTGCGCCCAGGACGCACACTGGGGGCTCGGCCCTACGCAATGGAAAGGGGGCGCGCTCGACTTAAAGCAGCGCGTTGTCCTGTGTTGATGTGTCGCAGATTTTAAATAGTGAGGGAGGGAGGCAGCTGGAGTTTGGAGTGAGGGAAACGCAGAGCCTCGGCGCTCAAACTGTTCAGACCGGGAGCGAACGGCTGCAGTGACACACCGAGGGCACCCTCCTCTTCCTCTTCAACTATTTTTATTTCAGCTCTTCCACAATAACAGCACAGATACAGTGTTTGCGTCCTGTTTGGAGCGTGTGGAGCAGCGCGCAGCGATGGAGCTGTCATCAATGGGAGACCAAGTGTTTGCAGTTGAGTCAATAACAAAGAAGAGAGTGAGAAAGGTAAGAAGGAGGACCAGCAGCACACTTCGTATAACTTACATAACTTGTTTTCCTCATGGTTTTTTATCCTAACGGAGCGGGGGGCGCGCTGTAACATCACCCTCTGTCCTCATCCGCAACAAAACTAGGCTACGCAGTTCCCCAACTACCCCTGTGCTATGCTCCATCCACAATAATCTATTCTTTTAATTAACTGCGCCAAAGTTGAACATTGTTTCGCAGCTCGAGTCGCATCCTGTAACCTTCCTGTGCAGCCTGCTCCGATGCTGCAGCATGAACGTGTTTTGAGTGAGCCCACGCAAGTAGTAACCTGAAATGTTAAGGGGGAGTGTGTGTGTGTGCTGAAAGGGGCCAGCGTACAGAGGAGGTGCGCAGTTGATTTAAGTTACGCCAGCGAGCGGGGCAGCGGTTTCTGAGTGAAACTGCTGCGTAATATCACCGACTGCTGCGTAATGGTGAGCCATTGATTTACAGCGGCGTGGATGTGGACTCAATAACAGATTATACCCACGTTGGAGAATTTAGCGGCGCGTAATTAACGTAGCA